CATCCTTCCGATTCTAAATCAACTGCAAATTACAGTACTTTGAATTATAATATTAATAACTCACTTTTTGCACGTGAATGTTGATTTAACGCTCGACATTGGTATTTCAGGTGTTGTTGCATAAATTTCCTCGGTAGTTGAATTTTTGCTACTGTAAGTCTGCGTTTCCGTCTGATCGAAGAAATCGGAGGACGTTGAAATGGGAATTGCTTCCGTGCTGGCTTCTGTAACATAAAGTTTCGTGAGTGATCCTTTCAATTATTTCAATAAAAATCCGAGGCTTGTCATAAGAACGCTTGGCATAGCTTACTATTTTGCTCCGTGGTGTCGCTGAATATTTCGTCTGTTTGTGATTTTACAAATGTATTATCAGAATTCGATTCTCTGAGTTTTTTGCTTGCTACCAGAAAGCCACAGTCGACTTCATCGTCTCCGTCTAAACAATTTACAAACCCGTCACAACGTTTCTTTATCGGCAAGCACTTTTTCAGGCTCGATTGGCAGCTGAAACCCGGACACGAATCCAAGGGTTTATTACCCCCGTAAGAAGATGTTATTTGTTTATCTGCAAAGTAAGATAAACGTGTATAATAAACGCGTTTTAGATAATAGAATCAAGCTTTTGAGTAGAAGAGGCACGGCAGATTTTAACTTTTTCAAAAGATTTACCTAAAGTTTGAAACGTTTGCTGTATCCAATCCGCATAGTAACTCACTTTCGCGTAAACACCGGGCTCATTCGGGCGTCCGCATCCATCACCATGGCTGATCAGTCCCGCCGCGTACCACTGCGTCTCTAAATTTGGATTTCTGTGCAAGGTGGATTTTTCAGTAATTGCCGAAGAGTCTAATTTTCAGTGTTTCATTTGTTAATTGTTACCTGCACATCAAAGGACCGCCGCTGTCGCCCTGACAGGCGTCGTGGCCACCTTCGTAATATCCCGCGCAGATCGTGGCGTTGTTCTGATCGGGCAAATATTTGCACGACGGCAAAATCGGCACTTCTACCTCTCGCAGATGATCCGCTAAAACACAATTTTAATTTAAAGTAAAAAGTGGACTATATCTTAATTTGTACACCGAGAGAATTATCTCTTAAAATTTATCATGTGATCGTGAGACAACATGGCATTAAGAACTTTGTGGCAGCTTTTTCAAATTTTACCATACATTTTATTAGTAAAATTTATGCTAATTGTAAGCATAATTATTAGTGAAATGTATGGCAACATTTCAGAAAGCTCTCGTAAAGGTCTTCGGGATGCCGCGTTGTCCCATGATTACATACTTTTCAGGATAAATTTCAGGAGAAAATTCTCTCCGTGTGCTCCGCTCTTTAGAATACTTTTGTATTATAACGCGAAACTGTCGCTGCTTCTCTGGGAAAAAAAAAGTCAGTTACAACCCATTTTGGGGCCCACAATTAGTAATCGAATTATTTAGATTGTTCGTAACTCTAATCTTTTACGAATTTTATCCCGCGTAACTAAAAATCACAATTAGCTGTTCTATCTATATCCAAGATTTTAAAGTAATACTAATCAATTCTCTCAATTAGTTCTGTCGATATTCAGTAACGCAAAGATATTTTTCACTTAAGTGGCAATAACCGAAATGTTAAGTTACTTAACTACTTCAAAAAACGGTCAAAATTTTTCCCAGAGTAGAGTTACGAACAATCCAAATAATTCGATTACTAATGGTGGGCCCCAAAATGGGTTACAACTGTCTTTTTTTTTCCCAGAGTTATAGATTGTTCCTATTGCTGTTCTGGTTACCAAGAAAAATTCTAGCTTACAATCTGGCCCATTTTCTTTTACGGCTCCCCAGCCAATAGCAATGCATACGGACTGCGACGACGGGTCTTCTTTATAGTTAGAACCCGCGGTGTCTAACTCCGGCAGGCAGATCGGGCGGACCCATCGATTGAAAAGAAGAGGTCTGTCCAACATGATCACTGCAATGTCGTTCTGCATCACTTTTTTTCTGTAGTCGGGATGAATAGACACGTATTTCACTTGTCTCGACTGCGTCGTTGGCGAAAATGAGAACAGCCTGACTACACTGGCTTCTATCTCGTAATAATGTTGCTCATATCTGAAAATTATTATCAGGCGCATATATTAAATCGACAAGAAAAATATGTGCGTTTAAGAAATACAATTCTTTGTTGCTTGTAATATATCTGAGCCACTCTCGAAAACGTGACCCTCGTGAAATTCTTCGTAAATGCCGCGTTGTCCCACGATTACACGATGTTCAGGATAAATTTTTACGAGAAAATTCTCTCCGTTTACCCAAGCATGCAATGACCCGCGGTGAGTATGTGGACTTCGCTGAGGATAACACCGCCGCAGTGAAAATAGCCATCCCTGAAAATGGCGACCACGAAGGGCCAAGCTGTGGGATGACTCGCACGGCCGCCGACTACTCCGACGATGGTATCATTCTGATCCTGCGTCTTTTCCGCCAATATCGACGGACCAGCGCTCAACAGCCCCAGTGTCTCTTGGTAGAGCTTATTAAATTCTCGGGCGGATTGTTCCTCCGCGTGTCTCCTGAACATATAATTGCTCTTCGCGTTAGAGGCGAAGGAGGTGCTCTGACGCGGGCTGGCCTTGATGCCACAAGGTAACGGCGGACATTTCACGACTACCGCTGTACCTGGACATGGCGTTATCTTTACCTCGTCGGTATCGGTTTCTATCACGTGAAGATCTTGAAAGGCGTTAGGCACGCGAACGGTTTGTATCTTCGGCATCGTTCTGCAAAGGCGCATCAGTTTGATAACAGTTTGCAAGGAAACTCCTCAACTCGACATTTAATTAATTTTATTATTAACGAATACATGTATTTCGTATTTTCAAATCAACGAAACGATGCGTTACAAACGCGGGCGATTTAAAAGTCTGTGTGACGTACGTTAGTGGGTGACCAATCTCCGACGCGCAAGCATCCACTGCCCAGGTGATTGTCTTCGAACAAACGGGATACCATATCCCTCGTATGTTCTTATGCAGGTACCCTCGACTATAACCAACCGTAAAGATCTACGAACGAGACGATGCACATCGGGGAATAAATTGGTAAACATTTGTTACGAGTCTTATCCCACACACCATTTAGAAAGATCCCCTTGAGATATCTTTTTAAAGGTAACTTTTTGAGTAATGAATAAACGATATTTACCAGATAAATACATTAAGATGTTATAAGAGGTCTAACTGGCATCTTGTTTGAGAGATTTCTTACATAAGATAGTTAAAAAATATATTTTGAAGGTGGTTTAATAAATCTTTTTAAATCGACATTGAAATGTCATCTCAAAAATGATTTTTATAAGATATCTTTCGAAAAAGCTCTTTATGATATCTTATTTATGATGTCTGTTTAATTTTAATATGGGAGCATAGCACTTTCTCGTAAGCAAAAACCGCACGTGGTATTATAAATTAATATACCCGCATGAAAGCTTTCATCTCTCCTCTGAAAGTGAGTTCTTTTACTATTCGATCTCTTGTCGACACTCGTATGATTTTTCTTTGTACCATTTCTATTCCTTACATTGTCAAATTCCTTGTTAAAAATTCCTCAGCAAAGGCTTTGCGTTTTAAATATCTTAGAATACGTGTCTTACTGACATCATAAATATGAACTCAAGATGTCTAGTCTAAGATGCAATATTGATTTGTACTACAGGGTATCTGAAAAAAAGCTATCTTTCCGATGACTTTTGAAAGAAGTCTTTCATTTCTCTGCAAGTGGCGCATAAGAGCTCTTTCTGACTTCATTATGACTTCACTTACCGACGGTATTTTTGGACGTCCAAATCTTAAATGAGACAGCATTAAGAGATCTTTCTGTTATCATCTTGCTGTGTGGGATAGATATTAATAATAATAATAAGTAGAGGAAAGTCCTCTATTATGAGATATATTTTTAATATGAGATAGCATGTTTTTAACACTCAAATTCGATCACAAATCTTTTTTTCGTAACGATTACGCGACCTAACATTGAATTTCCCACTAAACAGATTTCGCTCCAAAGACAATAAATTCACAGTGGAATCAACTGATGATGTCTATTAATTGAACAGAAACCCCGCTATTCCATATTAGGATCCGATCGCATAATAGGGGACGTTCCTCTAATTGTACAAATATCTCGCTCTTACATCGTTTGATCCCATGTGCGTTTCTAGAAGCATATTGCAGTCGAGCTCGTCCTTTCCGCTGGAACATTGACTTTTTCCGTCGCAACGTTCTGAAAGTGGTACGCATTTACGGAGTCCGTTCCACTCATCGCAACTGAAACTGTGCATTGGGCAGCCTAGAAATTAAACATTCATTCGAATAGTCAAGTCTGTCAAAAACAGACTTTGCAAGTTTTGTTGATAGAACACTAGCAGAAACGTAGCAAAATCCGCTAACAGAATATAATGGTAAAAACTGAGCAAAATCTGTCGTTTCGTAACGACTTACACAAATGATGTATTGAAGAAGTTGTTGTTTTTCGGTCGGGCTGGATCTCTTTACTTTTGAACAGAAATATTGTTATCAGGTTATCAAGAACCAACTGTGACTGAAAACTGACTTTTTCTCCAATAAATTGTATTAGATTTTTATTGGTTCTAGTTCACTTATTATTGGTTATAATCTATTTAATAGAATAGATATTTATTTAAATTGAATGGTGTACAAAATGACGGATTCTACTCGGCATCTGGCAACAATTTGTCATATTATATCGACAGGCTTTGTCAGGAAAATAGTTTAATGCGAACACAGATATCAGATCTATTGTAATATCCGAGTAAATTTGCTGCCGATCTATTGTTATTCTGCAGTTTACTGAGCAAATTAAAAAATGTTCATTTCTTTTAAATCTTTACTGTATGTTTACCTAAGTTTTTTTTAAACATATCACAATAAATTTATATGTTGTTAAGTGCAACTATGTTTCATAAAAGCTGCTTGCATGAAGAAAAGTTTCGTGGATAAAGTAGCTTCCGTAAATTTGACCAGTATTTAGCGTCACCTGGTGGACAGCCACAGTAATATTTAAAAAGAGACGTTATATTTATAACAAATTATTATATTTGAACAATGTGGTTACGGTCAAAAAATTTCTTTCTTTAATTCTTAATTAGTTTTTGTTTTACTTAAGATAATAAGGAAAGAAATACATTGCTCAGTTGGTCACCTAGATTCCTGCTTTGTTTTATACATATATGTACATACATATTTTAAGGAAAAGCCACGTAAAGTTTAAAATTGTTAAAAATTGGCTAGTAAAATTATTACCAACTTAATAAATTTTAAGCAGATTGTACAAAAATATAGCGCGTATGTAAATGGAACTAGCGACACAATATGCAAGCAGAATTGAGTGCCTTTATATTTAATTAAAGTGTGTATATATAAAAGATATTTAAGAGAGTATATATTTTTACCATTGCAACCGAGTTCGTCCTCTCCATGTGGACAATCGAAGTAACCGTCGCAAAGCCGATTTCGCGGTATTCGATCTCTGCAGGAGCACCTTGTCTCGTCGCTGGCATCGGTGCAATCGACACGGCCGTCGCACCATTGCACCTTTAGGACGCAGTGCTGAGTATCGCATTGATGATAGTTTTCAGGACAGCTGTGGTATTCTAAAACAATTGTCATGCCGTTAAAAACCATAGACGTTCTAATGTAGGGTAGGGCGGGGCTAGTTGGGCAACTTTTTACTCAAACTGTTATAAATTTTCACTTAATTATGATTAAACTGACTACTCAAGAAAAAGTAAGCTTAAAAATTGTCAAGATCTTTAATGGATAGATTTGATTAATCGACGATACAAAAATAGAACAGGAAATAAAAATTAACTATTATGTATTTTTTAATTATAATGAAATTTACGAGAAGAAAATTTGTGTTTAGCCAAAGAAAATTGGCGAGGTCCTCTCGCACTCCTCGTATCTCTAAGCGCGTATAAACATGTTGGCACGTGTTTTGTTAATTAAGATATTCGCGTTGCCCAACTTACCCCTATGCTCTCAACTAGCTCCGTCCCACCCTACTTTCTCAGAAAATTTCGTTTCTCAATTTAAACCTTACATTTCCGGGAAAAGATAATTGAGGCAGATAAGATAAAAATATGTGAAAAAGGAGAAATGACAGAGAAAATAATTTGAAAGAAATATTCGCAGAGGACCTGCGAAATTTCACTTACCTGGGCTATTTCGCGTGCTAGCACCTTGAGGTGATATACCTGATTCCTTTGGGAGGTTTTTCGCTTCGTCGGCAGAGCGGTCGGATTGCGATGTGCCAGGGATCGGCGGGAAGCGAATGATTGGAAGTGATATATAGCTGCAAAAATACGGCGCGTTTGCAACTGATTGCTGGAGCATCGCGGTTGGCTGCTGATTCAGCGAGAAACTCGGTACGTTCGACATGGCAGACCCCGCGGGACCGATGCCTGGTCCTGTCGGCTGAGCTGGACCGTCGGCGTAGTTAAATCTTGGCGGGAGCTGCACCGTATTCGCTTGCACCTGCATATAATTTGGCGACGAGAAATCTGGACGAAAGGGGTTTTGGAACGGAGACCCGTGACTCTGCGCGGGGGAAAAATCCGGGTAAAACGCTGGTGCTGAAGACGCTGGTGCTGAAGACGCTGGCGCGTTGGAGAACTGACCGGAATATTGGTTGAAGAAGCAAACTAGTTGCGGCACCGACCACGTCGTGAAATTCGGTTGCAATTGCTGAAAGGTCTTCGTGTTCTCCGCGATTGCCGGAATCGGTTTGCCATTGTTTTCCGCTTTGAAGCTGTTGGCCGACGTAAACTGTTTGTAATCGTGGAGATTTTCCATCGATCCTGGTTCTGCAAGCACATTGTTCTTTTCTTAAGAATTTTATTATCACTAGAAAAAAACGTCATACTAAGGTATTTCTAGGTCGCAATAAAAATTTATCGCTATTTTCTGTATCTGCCCATATCTGCCAAATCTGCCAGAACAGATTTCGTCAAATGCCTACTATACATTTTGAAGACAGAAAAATTGTAGATTGCGTACAGGAACTGATACATTCGACATCCCTAGTGGAAAAAATTTCTATAAATAACTACAAAAAACTGACTTGAAATAGAAATTTGTAGAAATTTTTATATCTTCTTTGAAACATTAATTTTTTTTAAATATCTACGAAACAGTAGTACAAATTACGATGTTCTCACATCAAGAAATTATTGCAAGTAGTACTTCATGAAAATGTACAATTTTGTAAAAATTAGCACAAAACTTTACTAGTTTTAAAAATTTAAGGAACAACAAAATCCTAAAGAATTAAAGCATCCGCTTACTTGTAGAATATTACAAAAATTAACAAAAGTATTCCAATTCTAGCGTTTTCATGTTGATTTTTATGACGCTTTTTAAATTTACGTAGAATTTCTTAGATTCTGGCAGTTATATTTATTTATTTTTTAGAATTTCGTAGAATTATTTCCCGCAGAGATACTCGAAATTCTCGCTTACATACTTTACACCTCGAAAAATTATGGAGAGACATTTGTTTTAGGCTGCGTTCAGAAACATCACCCGAATGCCCCGGTGTACCATTTTAACATCCGGTGAGCAACAAGGGTATAGAATGATACGCTGGGGTACTCGGGTGGTGTTTCTGAACGCAGCCTTACGGAGGGCAGACATGCCGCAAGAAGTACAACAGTCTGGAAAAAAGTTAGTATTTTGTTTTTGATTTACGAGTTAAATAAACTTATTCGTACTTCATCCGAAGTCATATCACGCGAGTCTCATGTTACGAATTACGAGCATCTCGATACTCGCGGCTTACGCGACCCTAGAGATTATGCAAGTCACAATAAATTGAATTCCTATGCGTCGGCGCATTGCAAGTATTTGTCGATAAACTTGAAGAAGAAGGTATATCGGAGCAAGTGGCGGCGCGTAGAAGAATCAGCGGGAGGGAAAACAAGGGGGTGGCCACGTAGCTTAAAGAAGCGCATCGGCAGCGTAAATATTGGTACAAGTAGCAAGCCCTCCACGTCACGGTTTAATTATTTCACTACTACTCTCCGTATTCTTCCCGACCACGTACCGTTCGCCAACGATCGATTTTCCGGGTGTCCCTCGAGCGAAGGACGCGTCGAAGGATGCACCGTCGTGCCGCCGTCGATTCCCATCACGTCGTATCCCGCTGACACACTCGTCACGTTTTCAGTAATCTCCATCAGGAGATCGATCAGGGTCCGCGTCCTTTCGGTTGTCCCTGTTGAATCAACCGCGATTGTGGTCTTCCTAGATTGCTCATCGTCTCGCGTGATCGCGCTATACTGAGTTCTCATGCTGCTCGACTCCGGCTTCGCGCTCGTGACGTCTTTGCCTTTGGTTGTCGCGCGATATTGTTGGTCAATTTTCGACACGGCAGTGACGCCTTCCTCGTTGTGGTCTTGCGTCACGTACGAGTCGTTTGCCGCTGGAGTGCTGTTTGGCTGTTTGTCTACGACGCCTGAATTGTTAACAGTAGTGTATACCCGTTGGCTTCCGTCGGGATATCTTGGGTCAGCTGATACAGTGGTAGTTTCCAATATATTGGTTCCCTTCGAAGATTGATTCGCGACATCTTGGGACGAATTGTTCATAGCCGGCTTCACCGGCTGGATTCGCGTCGCTTCCGTCCGATTCGAGATGCTTTCATTCAGCAGCTTAATGCCGACGTGGCCAAAATTGCTCGAGCGATTTTGCGCGGCGTCATTGTACGGGAAGTATAAATCTTTCGGTTGTGGCGGGTAATCCTCGTGCCCGTCCACCACGTTCGCCAGCTCTTTGCATTTGAAACATTTCAGAATATCTTCGGGCAACGGTTGTCCGTTTATTGTCGCTGAAGAATTGTGCTTATTTGAGAGGTTCACAAGGTTTTGCACCGTCTGCAACAACATCTCGCATTGTTTCTCTTTCAGATTGCAGTCTCTTTTTCTGCGAGATACGTCCCGCTTGGAACGCGTGGCAGCGTCTCTCTCATTTATCGTTAAAAACGCGTCACCTTCGGCAACTCCCATCCTCTGGCTCGTGAGCTTCTTCTGATCGTTGAAAAATGGGTCTCCATCGATCACTCCGGTCGCCCGGGACTTCAACAATGATCTTCTGCCGACGGGAGAGTCTGGCCTGATCACCCGCTCCACACGTGCTTCCGGTTGAATGCGAACTGAAAAAATCATGGTGGAAGAGATGATTTGAGGACATCGGCTGGAAATTGCGCGATTACGAGGGCGAGCAAGAGCAAATTTCTCGGGAAGAATAATACGAGCGGTATTTATTTTATGCACGTGACGTCTACTAACCTGAGGCATTACGAGTGTCATGTCCGGATATTATAGAAAACGTAAGATTGGCAATTATAAGAAAAAGTATAAACAGTAAAAGTGTAATTGCTCCAGTCAGAAGAACACATTTGCGCCGCTCATAAAAATTCTGGCTGCGCCCGTCCGATTTCGCCTTGTATTTGTCAGATGCTGTGCCTACAAAAATCATGATCGACATTAATTTTGAAATTCCAAATTTCATTCGACCACAGCTGGCCACATTTGTTAATTAACCGGTCAATGCAGAAACTTTATCGCAAAGTGGCGCGCAGTTTTAAGTCGAAAAATAAACGCGAGAATATCACTTTTATACTGTTGTTGCGACAAATATTACCACATGCCTCGGTGGTCAAGTTGGTGAGACGCCCGCCTAGAGAGTAAGGGAGGTTCAAACGAGGGCCGAGGTAACATTTTTCGCAATAAATTTTCTGCATTGACCGGTTAACAAATGTGGCCAGCTGTGGTCAAATAAAATTTAGAATTGTATTATTATACTGGCAGTTTGAAGAAACTAATCTTTAATTAATTTTGAAATTGTGTAGATACACGGAGAGAATTTTTTCTTAAAGTTTATCCTGAAAATCATGTAATCCTGGGGCATTGAAAAGTCCTTATATGATTCTTCGAAATGCCATGTTGTCTTATGATTACATGATTTTCAGGATACATTTTAACAGAAAATTTCACAACTTTTCTGTTAAATTTCTCTCTCTCTCTCTCTCTCTCTCTCTCTCTCTCTCTCTCTCTCTCTCTCTCTCTCTCTCTCTCTCTCTCTCTCTAAGTAATTGTACTTACAACTAGTATACATTTTACTAGTAGAATGTGTGGTAAAATTTTACAAACCTCCTACAGTTTTTCAAAGTTATCCTCCGATTACACGATCTTTAGGGTAAATTTTAAGAGAAAATTCTCTCCGCGTATAATAAAATATATAGGACGGTATTCATAGTCAAATCGTATATTTAAGATCATCTTTAGATACTCCGTAGCCAATAAAATGTTCAATACAGCGTCTTTAGATAAATTCAAGACGGTCTTGAATAAAAGATCTGACTATGAATACCGGCCATAATAAAAGAATATAATAAAATACATTCCCATAACAGTATATAATAGTATGCATATATAATAAAAGAATATTTGCAATGAAGCATTACTGAAGAACTTATTGAATTTTAATTGAAAATGAACACTGTATTCCCTTGATGTATTTCCCTTTATGATTTCTTTATTCCTTATTAATATAATTTTTTAATTAATTTCCAATAAAAACTTGATGACATATAATTGAATCTATGTTTTCCACATGTTAATTCAAATATAAAGCAATAACATTTACCTGTATTTTGAATCCTCGAATCCGTCAACTCAACGCAACATGGTGAATCGATTGGAACATCGACCATTTGCGTTTGCGAGCTTTTATCAACGTGCAGTTTATTCGATTTATCCAAAAGACGCACTAATTATTAAAAAAATTAATTAACGAAATAAAATTAATCCAAAGATCATGTTTAATTAAGCTGATAAGTTAAATGCTGAGTGTGTGACTCGATGACATTTTCGAACAACTTACTGTCGATTGATCTCTAAGTTGTTTGTCGCGATCGTCTTGCGTACAAAATTCCTGGCTTTATTTCGATCTTCACACGGGATTACACCGGCGACGACTAACCCATGATTTGATAGGCAGAGTCGTTCTTCGCGACGACGCGTCAGCGAAAAATTGCTGACAGCTTATGTCGTCTCCTATTACGTTCGTGTGAATGAACCCTTTTACACGCATTTCAACAAGTGTCGTCGCAGAGCTTGCTAAAACCTGTGAATGGATTTCCTGGCTTTCACTGCAAAATTGGACTCCAATGTTCATTTCATTAGCAAGTATAAAGCACAAGAATTTTGATTGACCTGTTATTGTACAGACTTGAGAACTCAAGTGTCCGTGTTTCGTGTATCTCTCGTGCGTCCGAGAGAAACTTGAACATAACGTTTGCGATTAATGACTCTCGTTTTCAAGTGGGGAACTTTTCCCTGAAAACTCCGAACTTTGAGAAACTGTTACTCTTCATTGTAGAAAGTTCTGCAGCTCGCAAAGTTACTTTCAACCAGAAAAATGGACTGAAATGCCGAAGGATATTCCTTTTTGAGCGAAAAGATCAACGCGAACAAATCATTCGCAGAAAATCTCCTGTGAAAAAGACGTTGATGTATGTTTACCTTCTAATGTAAAGAAATAGACATTATGTATACACTTTTATAAATAAGATTACGTTGATAATAGAATAATATTAAAGTAAGTGAAATTATCAAAATAATAAAGTGTGTTTCTAAGAAATGCATATTTCCTTTCATTATTCCATTTTCACATTTATTCTTGGTATTTATAGAGGAAAGTCCCCTTACGAGATAGACTCCTAATGTGAGATAGCAGGGTTTCTGCTAAATTAACAGGCATCATCTGTTGGCACTACGCATTTATTGCCCTTGGAGTGAAATCTCTTTAGTGGAAAATTCATTGTTAGCTCGTGTAATCGTTGCGAGAAAAGATTTGCGATTGAATTTGGATCCTGAGAACCTGCTATCTCATCTTAGAGGCTTATCTTATAATAGGGGACTTTCCTCTGCATGTATATTTATTTTCCACATTGGTAAATATTTTTTCAAGGAATACACATCGAGATAAGGTATCACTTTATGAGACGAACATATTCATGAGAAATAAAAGGTCTTTTCCGTCAATATTACCAAAAGTATTTTAATTATTTTCGCACAAAGCGCAAGATGAAGGTCGAAATGCTATGAGAACAACGCAAACATGAAGTCTGCCACTACATCACATGCTCTGAAGTATTGATGAGATAAGTTTTCATCCATACAGGTCATGATATTGCGCCGCAAATTAACGGCGAATCGATTGGTATAAAGTGGCCATAACATGCCGTTATTAAAAAAGCTCTCTTAGCGGTGATCGCAGTTTCGTAATACATTTTCACTTCTTATTTAACAACTTTCATTTGTAAACAAATTGCTCGGATTGCACAATTTTATGTAAATGTCAGAAATTATTCCGCAAACGATATGGCATTAATAATCAACGTGTGTTAGCATTAACGATCAATTTGCATTATCGAAACACGGAAGAAGAAGAAAGAGAAGCAGAGAGGAAGAGGTGATGGACGTGAAATAAGGAAACCGACGGGAAATAATGCCGGTTATGAATCGGAACGGCTCATTCAGGAATAAAGTGTTCTCGGTGTAATGCGATATTTCGCATCATCGGGTTGCGATTATTGCGTTTACGCATCAGCATGCAATGTGCAAGACTGTCATATATTCGAAACACTGGAAAGTCGAAGCGATGTTTTTCCGCTGCGACAGAAAACGAAACGCGATACTTCCTGAAACCTGTGCGAGGGAAAAGGCCGAAAGTAATTTTCTCAATGTTACAACGGTGCATTGCATTTCTTACTCTCGTATTAATTACATCCAGCATCTGCAGTTTATCTCTGTCGAGTCATCTCGCTACGTACATACCATTCTTAAACAAGTCATATTGAATATGAAATATCCCGTCCTGAGAAAGAGAATTTCTAACGCTTTATGAGGCAAACATCTTTTGAACTCTTTCCGCCTCCGCGCTTCTACTTTTAATTAACCGAGGATTCTAAAAATGCTATTTACTTCTCGAAATTTGCTAGCATTATTTAATTTCTCCGGTGTATTCTGTTCCTCAAAACAATTATTAAAAAAATTGTCGATACAGAGTTAAATTGCAAACGGAAGTTCCCGATTAGTTTTCAAGTTTCAGAATTGTATAACTTATATGACATATCTCCGATATGAAACGACTCCGATATCAACGACCGTTACATTCTTTTGTTATTGCGGCTGTTCAATCATCGGCACGAGACAGTAGATGATTCGATTAGTATTTCTCTCCCGTGCACTGTCGATACATCAGACCCGCGTTTTGTTACGCTGGAATTGTTTCAGCTATTATAGAGACGATAATTGCACAATCTGGTTTTACTTTCTCCTGCGAGTATCCGAGTCGCCGCGGATCGATGAAAGTGACAGTCCGTGCTCTGACGTGACGCCAAGTACACGATTGTTTCGATGGATCGATTTTGCTCACTCGGCGGTGTTTGCGATTGATTTGTGGCCGTTTAATACTCCAACAAAAAGAGGATAGATCCTTGATAGGCGATTATCGTTGTCTTATTCGTTCTACAAACGACGAATTACATTGCGCGGAAAAGTGGAACGTTTTGAAAGTTACGTCAATGCTCTGCTTGGTGTACGGTTTGTTAATTGCGACCACATCATCGAAAAGATATTTACTGGAACATTCAGTGATTTAACATTTACAACAATTTACGCGTTTAATTAAAGCAAATTAATCGAAGCTGTAATTAAATGGGAAAACGTTGGCATTTCTATGATCAAAACATTTCTATGATCCTTTTGAAATAAATAATTTACGTTTCGTCTTCTGTTAATTACAGATTTAACACATCTATGTATGTGTATGCAACGAAGTTTTGTAATTATATGCAAGAAAGAAATTGTTGTTAATTTTTTCTTTTAAGCGTTGAACTCACGTGCGTGTACGATAACATTTGAATACGTGGCAAGCATATGCGTCACCTTACGTATTTGACATAATATACCGCGATATAAATGTTGTATGAAGCTCATTTTTCAAACAAGGCCTTAGGAAGAGCGGGTCGAGAGTTTCTCGCAAGTTAGCCGACGGCAGAGAAATTTTTTTTGAAATGTCTACCATCCATCACGCTAGACCCAGATTTCACGAGAAAACATCTTCCATGTTACTTGTAAGTATTTGTTAAGAGTTTAATGCAGTTGACGATTCAAATCAAACAAATATATTCTTTTTCTTCGTAATTGCAACAATATATTATTTTGTGCCGTAAACGTAGATAAATTTTCTAAAGCTAGAACTGTGTTAGCTTCCGGTCGGATCGCACTCGATATCGCAAGGCTGTTTTTATGTAAAAGCAATGAAGTTTACGTGTATCCTGATTACACTCGACCGACTGATTTACGCTCGCGGCTCGGAAGATCCTGTATCGAAGCTTGCCCTCGCTCGCCCGCGAGTCAGCCTTTGAAAAATCATGGGAAAGATAGGTGGAAAAATAATGCTACTAGCCGGGATGCGCACTCGTATCTAAGTCAAGGGAAACCGGAGTGTTCAGTGGACTTCGCTGTTTTTACACTCCGCGCAATTCATTTGCATTCGTACCATTCGACTATTAAAGTTGCTCTCTCGGCGGTAATATTTTTTCCTTATCTCCACGTACGGCTGTTCACCCAGCGAGTTATTTAAATACATTTCGCGAGCTTATGAAACCAAACGTTCGAATAGATTTTTGCCTCTGAGAAAATATCGTCTGCCGTGAACTGTAAGCGTGTCGCTTGAAATACCGTAGTTTTAAATCCCAGAATTTTTTACGAATTTGCGCACATTCTTTCCCCACGATTTCAATATAGTAGCAATATTTATTTTACGTAATAATTTTGCATACATATGCGAATGAAACTTTTAATACAATGAATTGATATAAAAGCGTTTTACTGTTTATATTAAACATTATTTTATAAGTGTATTACTTTTTATTTATTCATCTCTTTTCAAATATTGTATGTGTTGTTATGCATTATTGTTATATTCATTCTTTAACACTATTTTTCTCCAAACAGCTAGTCAATTAATTCGTACGAAACAATCAACGAGTATCAAAGTTTTAAATGACTTTCATATTAAGCTCTTACTTTATGTGAATAGGAAATAATAATATCATTTAACACGATCTAGAAGATCTTAGAACACAAAGTGTCATGCTAGTAGCTTGTGTACACACGGAAGAAGAGAATATTCTTCTTTTGAAAATATATTTAGTTCAACGTAAAAATCTTGAAATGAGATTATATTTCGTTAAAGAAAAACTTGAATGAAGCAATTTTAAGTAATTCCATCAAGAAAAATATACGTTTGTTATTTAAGGATAACTTTCTTGAATGGAAAGAAAACAATACTGGATAGAAAATAACATATTTTCAAATCGAAGTTTATAATGATTAGAATGATTTTATTGTCAAAATAATTGTATGTATTCTTGAAGTGACAATTATAGTATTTAAATAAGACTAATATTGTTGGAATGTGTAAGATTATTAAATGCTTTTAAAAAGACTTTAGATTGTTGCGTATACACAAAACAATGAACGCGTTAATTTGAATATAAGAGTTGATCTAACACTTTTTTCTGTGCATTAACTGAGATGCCTATTTAAATTTTATATGTTTAAAAACAAATTAAGTGAATGATAGATTAGGAGATATCTGGGATTAACATATTGTTCTCATCTTCCCGAATATCCCCTAAATAATAATGTGGCATGTGATCATTCAGTAATGTGAAAGACTCAATTAATTGAGTCATTCATAAAGATACATTTAAGACTCTTAACTAAACTCGATTTTCTCGTCGGGGCGATTTATATATAATTCAGTTTATAATTGAATCCAACTTGAATCGCTCTGTACTGTTTTATTGGAACTCATTCGTATTCGAATAATAATAAAAGAGAAAAATAATAGGGTGCACACCAGCTCGTTTAATTGTATAAATATGTGAAGAAGAGGCCAATGATATCAACGAGCGACAAGGATAACGGTTAAAATACATGTATCAATATTATTGCAAACAAATTTAATGAGAAAAGGCGAACGACACACATTGTCTTCATCAACGCACGATATAAATGATAAATTAAACATTAAATATAAATGCAACGCCGGAGCAAAAATTAAACAATGTAGAAAATCAACAGTCGACACAAAATTTTAATTAGAGAAATTTATTGCGAAAAATATTACCTCAGCCAGGGTTTGAACCTAAACCTCTTTGTACGGCAGGCATAGGCACACGTACGGATTCGTGTATACAGTGTGAGGCAATAACTTTGCCCACCTTGAAATCTCCGAAGCGCCTCCACTTTTTGAAAAAATATTACAAACATGTTATGGCTCCTTTGATACAGTACAACTTTCGTAATTAAAATTTTTTCATATCTGTCAAAATAGCGGAGATATTCGAGGTGGACAAAGTTATTGCCTCACCCTGTATACTCACACGTCTAGTCTCTTTCTCACATTCGGCCCCGAGCCTCTGCGCCTTTCATTTTCTCTCTTCTTCCCTCGCCTTGACACAACGTACATATACGTACGCTCAGGTCAATAGCTGAGGCTTCGGCAGCGGGATAATTGTCAGGGAGCCACCACGTGACAATCGGAATATTGACAGAAGAATGCCAGTTTGAATTTATAAACTCAGCCAATCGGCTCGACAGAATTTTGAGAGAAAAGAAAACATTTTGATATGCCACGTATATGTCAAGGGCAGCAGATGATTCCCGCTCGTTCTCTTTTATCATTATTCGAATAAGTGGAGGAAAGGCCAATAATATCAAGTAGCAATAAGGTTAACGGTTAAAATACACGCATCAATGTTATTATAAACAAATTTAATGAGAAAAGGCGGCATTCTCTTCATCAGCGCACGACAGAAATAAGAAATGAAACATTAAATATAAATGCAATGCATACAGGAGTAAAAAATTGAGAATAAAAAATTAAAAATTAAGTACAACACGTAAGATCTGTTGCAATAAAAAACAATCAAGGATTACGCAAACCGCAAAGCCTATATCAGACTACGAGTTGAGATTAGATTGAAATTTGACCAATCAGAGTAAAATTCACTAAACTTGAGATTAATAAATTTGATTCTGATTGGTCAAATTTCAATTTAATATCAATCTCAATCCGTAGTCTGATACGGGCTTAATGGGTTTCGACTGTGAAGATCGAAGCCAAGAGGTCTCGATAGACGGAAGAAGCGTAGACATAATCTCTGATTTCATATTCTCGAGTGAAAGCCGTCAGATGGATACGATATTGCACGTTTAAAACGACGAATAAATTGGTCCATAGCATGCTTATTCCGTCTACTGGGACCTACATTAATGTATAATGTAAAACGTGATGTACAAAAGCTGTTTTCTTTTCTCTCAAAGGGAAATTTGGTCGGGCCGATTGGCCGAGCTTTTAAATTCAAACTAACATTCTTCTGTCAATATTCCGATTGTCACGTGGTGGCTCCCCTTGACAATTGCCCCCCTCCCCCCGCCAAAGCCTCAGCTATTGATGTACATATACACATTGTGTCAAGGCGAGAGGAGAAGAAGAGAGAAAACGAAAGGCGCAGAGGTGCGGAGCCGTGACTGTGAGAAAGAGACTGGACGTGTAAGTATTATACATACACGTATGCGTGCCTATGCGGTGAGAATAGCCGTGGAATCGTTTCCGTTTCCCCTCCTTCGCACCGCCGAGCCATGTGAGTCCCAACGTTGGGTTTGGTTTGGTATCCGAACCAGAGTCTCTCCGTGGTGACGGGCCGCTGTCGGCATCGCAGTCCCAGCTGGCGCCGTACGCCCCCTTTCCGAAGGATCGGACGATCTTCGATAACGCGACCAATCGTTCACCTTGCGAATACACTTATCGGTTTCACTTAATTGGCGCGTACCTCTCCTATAATCGCAATAACTCGAGCCGTTGGAACGCTAGTTACGTGAGTTCCGCGAAAACTTGTCACTCACCGGCTGCGATATATATTTCTCTTTGTTCTCCGGTGCTGCTGGTGACCACATGAGCGGAAATGGTGACGTTTCGCTTACAAGAAATTGAGAGTGCGCTAATTTTGTGACGACCGGCGTGTTTATTATATTTGTCCGTTACAAAGGCAAGCAGCATCGTTGGAACATACACGCTCGAATTGGAGTAAATGTGACTTACAGGTGCGTGGACTTTGAATTTATTCCTTGATATTTTGCGCTACTCTCACCAATCTTTTCATGTTTGTTTCTCACTTCTAGTGAGATAATGCGAGAAAAACATCTTCGTCGATAGCTTAATAATAACTGATTCCGTTACTTTTAATCGTATATCATACGATGCTTGACGGGACACTCCATTAAACACACAGAAATTGCTATTGTACATTTATTTTCATATTACGTTAGAAAGTATTGATGCACGTGTTTACTGAACGTGACAAGATTATCGCATAAAGTATCACAAATTTAACCTTTATATTAACTTTTGTAATAAAATTGAATGCTATCACATTTTATGATTGAAAGATGTTTCATTCATTTTATTCATTTTATTCATTTTATGGCGTAATATTATTGGTCAATAGTATAAGATAATAATTTACTACTTTTGGAGTAAATATATTATATTTTAAAATATGCAGCATAAAAATCCAGGTAAATTATTTACTAAAAGCGTAAACGTTGATTTGTTCGGAATACAAGAGATATGGAATAATGTCATGAATAACGTTGAAAGATTTTGCGAAAAAAGTGAAAGCGTTCTTCGTTTTGGTATCGACGTAACTGGCATAATCGTCTGTCCCGTCGAAATTTAACAGCATCCGGCTCTTATTTCGTCCGATCTTCTCTCGCGTGTAACTCACCAGTTTAAGGGACAGTGATTCTCATAATCAAGTGTATATTAGTACGAGATACTTGGTAAATAGTATATCGGCTGAAAGCTGATTGTGTGATTTTATATAAACACTTATATAATAATTTTCAATTTGACCGGCAACGCGGGCATTTCGTAATCTCGACGTGAAGTAGTACAGTAGGTCACAGCGTCCGAGATCAATGTCCTCTAAAGAATAATCGCGTAATGTATATGGACCATTAAAGCCGTTCTTTTAATTGCGACGCTTCCGATTACCGTTGATCTTTAAATTAATCAGCGACAATTAACGTAAGCGTAAGAAAACAATTCAGCGAGAAAAATAACGTAAAAGTAATGGGTGGTAAAAAGCATTTCATTTCGTTGAATGCATGTACGCGAGAAACGTTTGTGAGAAAATAGTCTTAAAATCGTATTAGAATACGATTTGAAAGCAGAATAATGGAATTGTGTCAGTAATACATATATTCAAGCAAAATTTGGAATATTGAATCGCCAGTGATTCATTAACAATTAGGTTGAATAATCCATAGACATAGAAGATAGACCCAGTATACGTGTTCCCAACGTGTCACGAACATAACAGACAAAGAGGCAAAATAAAGTGGCCGCAGGAGGCATGAGAGGGGGCGGGAGTCAAAATATTGTCTTGCGCAGACAATGCGGCCACTCTATTTTGCCTCTCTGTCTGTTATGTTCGTGACAACTTTTCTTAAGGAAACGAATGGGCATGCTGGGTCTATCTTCTATGTCTATGGAATAATCCGTCACAACTGGCCACAGGAAAATTTCCTTCATTGTAACACACATGTTAGTCGGCGTATGGCATGTGGTCAAATGCCAACTAGATGCTGTAGAATACATTTGTAAAGGGTCGAAACCCATGGCCGAAACGTTGTGTTACAATAAAGAAAATTTTCCTGTAGCCAGTTGTGTCGGATTATTCAACCTAATTGTATACGTCACTAGAATAAGCTGTTTAGGATTGAATTGAATAGCAGCCGGAATAAATAGAATAGGAAAAGAGGAATAAGAAAATTAAGAGCATAAATTTACTCAATTTATCAATTTCGTTAAGTTGCAGCGTTTTATCGATGTAAGTTGTACTTTAAATTTGCGCACACGCACACAAAAACTTGAAATTTGTGCAATTAATTGAGAACATTCTGTGCACGAATGTATGACAGAGATTCATTACTTCACATACGATAAAAGATTATATACTGACATTTACATTGCAATTTTTGAATATTAAGCATCTGGTTATATTTGATTTCATATAAATATACATGAATACAGTTAATTAATAATGTTTTAGTTTTAAAATTTGTTTTCAGATTTTTTCAAAAATAAAATGGAAATAGTCATATAAAATTGATTTCTTATTCCTTCATTAATAGAGGAAAGCCCTCTATTATGAGATAGGAGTCTAATATGAAATAGGTTTTCAACGTTCAAATTTAATCACACTAGAAATGACAAAACGCGCGCTTCGCGTGCGCAGTTTGTAGTCGAGCATTGTATATTTGTAAGAATTTGCATACATGCAGAGAAGTAATTGTATGCACAACGTCAATTTAAAATAAAAAGTACTTTGTCACTCACTGATACGATTTGCAACAGCAGAGTTGTACATCGTCAACTCCATATATTATATTAAACTGTAAAAATACAAATATGTACATGATTATTATAGACTAATTATGTAAAATCGAAATGATTGTATTAAATATACTTTATATTTTATATTTAAGAAAACAGATATTTATTATAATAATTGAATAAATTGAAAAAAATAGAATACTGAAAAAGTCTTCCTTTTAAATATAATCTCACAAAATTTATACGTATGGTTTTGTCTCTAACACTTATTCGAATCCTCGTTCGAATCATTTGAATAAATAAAATAAAAACACAGAACAGATACTTTATTTTGCACAAGTAGCAAATAACAGAAAAATTTAGACACTCACCTCACCGATTTCTCCGTTGTTGCCCGATGCCCCCTGGGTCTCCTCCTCCTCCTCTCAGATTTCCTTGTGGCACTTACACAACACTCACTCGCAAAAATTACCGATCGCGCGAAATTTCGAGCACTCCCGTACGCGATGTGAGATACCGCAAAACGCACGAAATATTGAAGAACGACAGAGCGGATTACAGCGCGAACGCCGAAATCGCACAAATTTCTCTCTTTTCTCGAAAATAGACCGGATTACACGAAATCGATAGATAATTAAAAGCGCGGTAAACGAGATGTAACCGCGACAAAGTACCGCGGTTTACATTCATATTTTAGATGAGTTAGTCTCGTGAAATATCTACGTATACGTTGATAAAGAACCGTCGCCTCAACATGCGATTCGTTTCTCATTACAAGTAGAAACATAATAATTAATCGAGGAACGTTACTCGTTACTGATAGAGGTGTACAAATCGATAGCATTTTATCCCTACATTCGTCGCGATCGAGTCGTGGAAACCGATAACGCAAAAGTAATACCACGCACGGAGCGACTCTCGCCACTGCCTGCCGGCACGACATTCGGCGAGCGAGTGATAGCGCGGCGACCTTCAGGTAAACATTGGCCCGCGTAACGTCGTACGATAACGTGAAAAACAACAAAAAAACGTTGAGAATTCGTTGGCCTGCCTACGCAATGGAAAATTCCGTACTTAATATTTTATTGTACATTACTTTGTTCCGTGACTGTTGCTACGTTTTGCGTATTATTCCGCGGACTTATTGTTATTGATTAAATTAACGATTAATTCTGTTCAATCGAGAAAATGTTTCGAGACAAAAATCGTTGTTACTTTAATTCTAATTAATAAGATTAGAGATTTTACCTCAATAGTTGGTGTATACAAATGTATATTACTAAATTGCAGATCTTCATTTATTATGGGCAAAAATTATCGAATTATTTACTTTAATAATAATATAAATCGGTATTAAATACTTTATTGGAAATAGCGTTGCGCGCGCTATTTCGTTTTAATTTATATTTATTCATGATCTTCTTCGCACATTAAGATTCTTTTCATGTGAAGAAGACGTAATCTGACGTTGACACTCTGTTAAAATACATATTACATATTGTGTTGATTTTAGAATCAATTTTCCATTAAACAGATTTCACTTAAAGGGCAATAAATTGATAGTGGAACTAACAGATGATGTCTATTAATTTAGCAGAAATCCCGCTCATATTAAGAGCTTATCTCATAACAGGAGACTTTCCTCTATAATAATGGACAAGAAATATCTAATACTGGTAATCTCTAAGTCTCGTCATTCCTAAATCTAGCAACCAGACAAACACATTACAGCACAGCAAGATTGCAGGAACATTGTGGCAACATTTCATTGCAAGAGTGCAACATTGCATAAACGTTATGAAATGTGGCTACAATATTGTTGCAAGATTGTTGCAACGGTAAAATGTTTGCTTTCGGAAATATTACTACGTAACATTATACTAGCTGATATACAGGGTGAGGCAGTAACTTTGTCCATCTCGAATATCTCCGCTGTTTTTAGAAATATTAAAAAATTATACCCTCGAGATAAGCTACAAGAATATACAATAAAAAATAGGAGGTCCCATTTAGGGTGATCTTCGTGTGACCTTGAGAACGCTATTCAAGGTCATACTAATATTATTATACAATGACCTCAGTGGTCGAGTTGGCTAAGACGCCCTTCACGGATTGAGGGTGGTCCCAGGTTCGAATTCTGGCTGAGGTAATATTTTTCGCAATAAAAATAATTTACAGTACGGGGAGGGGGGTATCGAATGCTAAATTTAGCATTTAAAACATAATTACAAATCGTTTATCGATTTGATTATGCGAATTTGATCTGACGATAATAACTCCGTCCGTAAGAACACTGCGTTATGTCCGAAAAGAAACCGGCTCGCAGGACGAAGGTGGAAAGAAACAGTGTATGGGATTCACATTTTTAAAAATTACAAGTATGGACTACACTGTAAAAAAAGTTCATGTAAAATTACAATTATTATAGTGGGTAATGTTGGGACCATCTATTAAAGGTATATATTTACATACGTCAGTAAATTTACTCCTTGTAAGTAAAATTACTACCTCATACATATAATAAGTAAACTTTTGATTGTGTAAATTTTACAATTTTTTGTAATTTTTCATCATGTATATAAATAAGTATTTACACAACAAAGAGTAGAAAAAATGTTTTGATAAAAATGTATACATTTATATATTTCCGTTATTAATAGTGTGGTCCCTACACTTATTATGTATTTAATTTCACATACTTTTTTACAGTGTACCGACAATGAATAATATTTCGAACCGCGTACAATTGCGTATCGCACAATCGGATGCGAGGCTACGTTGGCTTGCGGTGTGCGCACCCAGCATACTCGAACGCTGATGCATCCGTATCGCTCGACGCATTTGAGAATGTAGTTGTTAAAACGCTTGGAATACCGAGCGATTTATGCGTGCATGAATACTTACGTGTCTCATCTAGAACACGCGTAAACGTGCTCTTCCATCGATAGTAAGTTTACCTGTGTACTCGCTGACACGTTGCGCGTTCCGTTCGCAATTTGACAGCGCGACATTCGTGACTAACTACTATCATTTTTTATGACCGACAGCAGAGTTAGAAAAACAAGAGTATAAAAAAATAGCACCACGATAGGTGATTCGTCACTTTTTCTTTTCTCCACTCTCTAAAAATCAATCAGTGAATTGTCATTGATTTACAGCTGTAAGTATACACGGAGAAAAATGTCCGATTAAATTTAATCGGGTAATCTAATTACACAATAAAAAATATATCTGATTAAGTTGTATATCCGATGAAAAATATGATTGGTTTTTTCAATCAAATTTCACCGGTAACTGTATTTTATCTGATAAATTTCATCGGATGTATCCATAATTTAATCGGAAAACGTAATCGGAAAAATTAACCATCGGAAACACCATTCAATTAGTTTATCCGATCGAAACTTTTCTTAGTGTACCACTGCGATTTTCAGTGGTGTACTTATAACTGAAAATTAGTGACTAGCCACTGTTTTCAGTGATAATCCACTGATTTTTAAAGAGGCATATCGAATATCACAGTTCCCCCGGAATTTTGTATTCATGGCGCTTCTTTTTATTTCTACCGCGCTATTATTTATCACCAGTTTCCCGATTATTCTATTCAAATAGAAGTTGCAAAGTGTACGTCGAAAAACGTAATCGGAAAAATTAACCATCGGAAACATTATTTAATTGGTTTATCCGATGGAAACTTTTCTCAGTGTACCACTGCGATTTTCAGCGGTGTACTTATAACTGAAAATCAGTGACCAGTCACCGTTTTCAGTGATAATCCCCTGATTGATTTTTAGATAGCCATATCGAATATCACAGTTCCCCGGAATTTTGTATTCATGGAGCTTCTTTTTATTTCTACCGCGCTATTATTTATCACCATTTTTCCGATTATTATATTTAAATAGAAGTTGCAAAGCATACGTCATACATTATATTTAAATCTTTGTAATTTTTCGTGCTTAATAATTCATGACATTTGCGACATCGCAATATGCAGATTTCTTACGATTTCTGCTTAACTTGTGTATGATGTATAGAGTTACTTCGAGGCGAATCTCTCCAAAATCCCCACAGTTTTGTTCGAGCGACAGCGCGGAAGGGAGCGTTTAACACGGAGGAGCAAGACTGCTGCGCTGCATCCTTTGCATTCTTTGCAGATCCGCAATTTCCTTGTAAACCACATTCCTGCCGTAACTCCGACAGCAGCCTTCGAAAGGTGAAATCACGTAACGCTCGTGAAAGTTTTATTTATGCATTCTTTTTTTTGGTGAACGCTCGTAACCACAGATCAGAGAAAGTGGTTTCGCGTCGGCCATCCGTCGTCCTTGGACCGCTTCTCAGATCGATAATCCTCCTTTACGGTTCAATTAGCGATTGATGAAATCGCTCGCGCGATCAACAGGAGCATCGGCAAATGTTTTGACGTAGCTCGAAACAATCGCCGCTAATTACGCGATCGACGTGCCGTACACCATCGAGTTATTAATGCGCGTTATCTGTGGTTGTGTACATTAAGAATAAAAATATCCGCGTGAAAATAATAAGATAAGATTATATTTAGGTATTCGCAGCGTGCACTGACATGACATTGAATTCGCATGACGTAGCTAATAATTCAACGGTTTAAGCGGCGCAACCTTCCTCGCGTCATCTCGCGTTACGCATTTGATAAAATGTGCACCTAGAGTCCCTTATCTCTGACTGCGACGCGTCTCCGTTGTATCATGTTATCGCTGCGCAACAAGGCGCGAACGTTGTTGTTCGTCATTCGACGAGCGGATAAACGTAATTGGAAAAATCGGCGATTATTTTTCCCGTCGACGGCAAACAATAAAGTTATAAGGCTCTTGCAGCATCGTGGTACGAGATATATCGTTCGCGGTTACAGGCGCGATCTGTCATTCTGTTCTTTGCTTTCAGTCCGGACAGCCGAGGGGCTCGCAAAACTGAATGGATACTTTAGTGCGGTCGCTCTTAAGAACTCGTAGTTTATCTGCGTTATGGCTACTCCTGTTACTATCACCCACCGTCCTCGCCTCGTACAGTATCGGCGTCGGAAGAGCTGACAGCACGGGGCCGGCCGCAGAAATTGTCTTCGTTAGTATCCCACATTGCGCGGCTCGAAACCGAAAATCCCGAGAAATCGCGCGCTGCATTAATATTTTGGCGAACAATGAGGAAAAAGTTGATATTGATGGAAAAAATCTATTATGTCGGAGAATAAAATCACGAGGGATGTATCTCCCCCAGCTTTTATTTGAAAAATTAAAAAGGTTACGAATACACCCATGAAAATTTTCGAATAACCAACGCGATAATTAAACCCGATGAAATAACAAAGGGGAACAATGAGGGCTTTGCACGCGAGTAGATGTAAATAGACGTTGTGTGCAATTTCAGATGGGATATGCGAAAATGGAGCAGAAAGGGACTGGCATTCATCTTCGAACGTTTGCCAGAACTTTCATAATTGACGACGGCGTGGAAAGGTTCGTGTTTGTCAGCGTGGAGAGTGCGATGATAGGCAATGACATTCGACAGGAGGTAACGTACATATATCCATTCTTAGTCGTATGATTACGTAAATTACATTTCTTGTATTGATTTTAGATAAACTTAAGAGAGAGAGGAAATGAATATTTAGGTATCTCGCAATTTTTGTACGGGAGCAATTTCACTCTTTTGTCCCATACGAATCTTTTTGCGCGTCAAGCAACGTTAATATGACGAAATAGAAACCTTGAGGCATCTCATGTATAATATTCAAGATAATATTAGAAAAACGACTTCGAATTTTTCACGTAGTATGTTTCAAGTGTTTCATAGTTTCACAGACAACTCATGCGTTATCTGTCTGCTATTTGTGACTTCCATCGATCATGTTTAAAGGCCTTTGATAAAAGCGCAATTTCCGTACAGTTTGGAATTCTTAGAAAGTGTTACCGCAAACTATTCTTTTTAAAAGTCAAGTTAGTGGATTACCATTGAAAGCAGTAAATATTCACTAATTCACAGTTGGAAGTGTACCACTGAGATTTTAAGTGGTACTCTCTAAAATTTGTAGAAATGTTCACCCTATTGGCGTGAATATTTCTTCCAATAGAATGAATATTAATCCAATGGATTAAACATTTCACTCCATGGCAGTATTTTCACTCCACAAATTTTAGAGAGTATTCTTATAGTGAATTAGTGACTATTCGTTTTCAGTGACAATCTGATTGACTTTTAGAGAGTTGTAGAATAAAATGAAGATAGCGGAGTTTCTACTAAATTAATAGGCCATCTGTTGGTTCCACCATGAATTTATTACCTTTGTGAAATTTGTTTAGTGAAAAATTGATTCTTAAATCTCGCAATCGTTGCGAAAAAAGATTTGTGATTGAATTTGGACGTTGAGAACCTACTATCTCATATTAGACTCCTATCTCATAATAGAAAACTTTATAATGATAATATGTGAACAAAAAGTATATACTGAATTTGTACTACAACATATCGTTTCTTTTCATCTTCGCGTAGTACGTAATATGAAATTTTACTATTCTTTCCTCAAAAGGTTCCTAAAGATATTATATTTTCTCATTGTACGTGTAATAATCTAAAGAAAATATTACATATAGAATGAATCAAGCTATAGCTTTTAGAAATGCAAACGACATCTTTTTATCTTCATTATTTTAAATAGTTTCGTATATTAACTTTATTAAAGCTCAAAGTATTGCTATATAAACATTAAAAATACTGCATAGAAAATTAAAATCCATAGCAAATACAATTGACTGAGTTATTTATGTTTATGGCAATCCGTGAGACGTTAACGTTTAATTCAAGCTACTTTATTTCTTTTAATTCAACCGCATTTTTTGTGCAGATTTGTAAAGAAAAGATGGCCACAGTATTATGGGGTAGAAAAGAGTATAGAATAGAAAAAAAGAAAAATAGTGAAAACGGAAATAAAAGTTACAGGTTACAATTTACATACAAATTGTATATGAAAAATGTGATCGGTTTTTCAATCAGATTTCATCGGCAACTGCATTTCATCGGATAAATTTCATCGAATGTATCCAAAATTTAATCGGAAAAATTAACTATCGAAAACGCTATTTAATTGGTTTATCTGATGAAAATTTTTCTCAGTGTATTAAAACAATTCAATCCTCAAGTGTCGTTTGTTCAGCACGTGCGTAGATAAATGCATTATTCGCTCTTTATGGAATCGTAAGCTTCGCCGCAAAATACGATCATCACGCGATGTTAATCACAATCCTTACCCCCCCGCCGCAGGTGCTGCGTAAATTGAAGATCCAATTTGGTGACATGTACACGGAGAGGAACGTGATGATTAGCGGCACGCACACGCACTCGGCCCCCGGTGGTTTCATGCTGGATGTGCTTTTCGATTTAACCACATTCGGCTTCGTCAGGGAATCATTCGACGCTATCGTCAACAGTATAACGAAGGTGAGTAGACAGCATAGAGCAAACAATTATTACGACATTGCACCGCGCAAACGGTTCGCTTGATCAGAGATAACAGCCGCTAACGTCTGGATATTTGTTTTGACACCATAGAGCATCCAGCGTGCCCATGATGCCGTTGTGCCCGGAAGGATTTTCATTGCTCACGGAAAAGTTTTGGACGCCAACGTTAACAGGAGCCCGCAGGCGTATCTGAATAATCCGAAGTCGGAAAGGGATAAGTAAGTGACGAAGTGGCGCTCTTGGAGTATCTCAAGGGGACAAAATATCTCACGGAGATTCCCTCTCAAAAGTGCTTCTTTTAGAAAAGAGCGGAGAAAATTGATGAAAATTTACTCTTTGAATCTTATAAAGTAGAATATTACTAATTGGACATGGAAACGATGATAATTATTGGTCGTCGCAATTTTTTAAAATCAATTCCTATCGAGAAGCAGAATATTATTAATATATTATTATTGCAAGAGAAGCCAATATAACGTTACGAATTCAGTCTTGTCGTGGAGTTACAAAAGCAACGTTCTCAAATAACGCCGTCCATCAAATTATTACTAATTAAACATGGAGACGATAATAATTATTGCATCGTCGCAATTATTTAAAATTAATTCCGATCGAGAAGCAGAATATTATTAATATATTATTATTGTAAGAGAAGTCAGTGTTGGTGACGTTACAAATTCAGTCTTGCCGTCGAGTTACAAAAGCAACGTCCTCAAATCACGCGGTCAATCAAATCAGTACTAATTAGACATGAAAGCGATGATAATTATTGCATCATCGTAATGATTTTAAATTAATTCCGATGGGAAAGCAGAATATTGTTAATATATTATTATTATAAGAGCGGGAGCTAGTGTTTATAACGTTATGAGTTTAGCCTTGCAGTCGAGTTACAAACGTGACGTTCTCAAATAACGCGGTCGATCAAATCACGTCGCAATTGCTTAGTAAGGGGATTGTAGAATGTATTCGCGGCAGTGAATATTCGGTAGCGAGGTTTATTAATTCTCGGAATACATATAGCAATCACGTATATTGCGTATTATACGATGTACGACACATGTCGACGTGTTTGCGAGGTTCGCACAGGCGTGTGCATTCTCGGAAATTCACGACCGCTTGCTTCCACTTGTCGCTTAAATCGATTTTACGACATACGGAAATGTAAATACAATACAAAGACGGCAGTGTATATTCGCTGTTATACAGTACTCTTACGCGGAAGAAAGTTACGTTTGCGAAAAATTTATGCTCCCCCTTTCTTTTTATTTCCAGATACGAGTACGACGTGGACAAGACTCTAACACAGATGCAGTTCATCGGTGCTGATGAAAAGCCCTTGGGCTCGATAAATTGGTTCGCCGTGCATCCAACTAGCATGAACAATACAAACCATTTGGTCTCCAGCGATAACATGGGCTACGCTTCGATCCTCTTAGAGAAAACGATGAGCAAAAACGCTACGGTCGGCAAAGTAAGCCTATTATTGATACACTGAGGAAAACGTCCGATTAAATATAATCGGATAAGTAAACGGATATATCCGATTAAATTGTATATTCAATGAAAAATATGATCGGTTTTTCGATCAAATTTATCGGATATATACAGGGTGTACTAAAACCACCGGATATCCTTTGAATCGCAGATTCCTTAGAAAATTTCAAGAGGAAAATTCTAATAAGAAAATGTCGAGGCTATGATAGTTTTTAAATAATAAGCGATTATATTTCACAAATGACAGGTCTGAGATTTCGCGCGCTCAGGCACGGCGACATGACGAGTGATAAAAGTGTTCCTATGTGTTTCGCGAGCGAGCGAGAACCAAAGTTACCGTTTAACGGAACAGAAAATACTTGGGAAGATGATCGGTTATTTTGAAAACTTGAGGATAAAGAGAGGCAGGAGACTAGATTGAATCTAACTGAAAATTTCAAGTTCACTCAGAATATCGGAGGTCGACTAAATCAAAGGATATCAAAGTCTGATCAAGATGCTCATCATAGTGAACCCCTCCCTTTTATTATTAATAAGACGTTACACAAAGTTAAGAAATGGTTAAAGATAACAAGAGGAATAATTAATTCGAGAATGAATCGTTAAGTCTGTTGTGAAAGTTGTCACTATGCTAAAAAGGGCGATATTCGTAGGAACACCTTTATCACTTGTCGTGTCGCCGTACCTGAGCGCACGAAATCTCAGGCCTGTCATTTGTGAAATGTAATCGCTTATTATTTAAAAACTATTATAGCCTCGACATTTTTCTATTAGAATTTTTGTCTTGAAAGTTTCTAGAGAATTTGTGATTAAAAGGATATCCGGTGGTTTTAGTACACCCTGTACATAATTTAATCGTAAACGCTACTTACATGGAAACAAAAATGCTGTTGTATTAGGCAAAATAAAGTTGCGTCAATTAAACGTTAACGTCACGGGCTGCCACAAACATAAATAAATCGCTCAATTGTATTTGCTATGGATTTTAATTTTAAGCATTGAACTAAATATCCAGATTATTAAGACAACAATCTGATGCTTTTCATTCATTAATACTGATGTTGTCTCAACGATTTTATTTCCATTGCACTGATCTTGTTGATTAACAACTATTTTTTCCGTGTAGTAGCACAATATGTTAGCGCAATATTGAGAAATAATGTAAATCTACACTGAAAAAAATGCCCGATTGAATATTATCGGCTAATCCAATTACATAATAACAAACGGATACATCCAATTAAATTGTATATCCGATGAAAAATATGATCGGTCTTTTAATCAAACTTCATCGGATAAAATTAACCATCGGAAAGACTATTTAATAGGTTTATTCGATGGAAATTTTTCTCAGTGTTATAGTATTCCTAATATTGGTCCAATATTGTGAGATAGACACATTCTTTTATTTAGCCAATATGTTTATTCAGCAACATTGGTCTAATATTGATACAATATAAGACCAATATTCTTATTACATGGGTAAATATTGGCCAATGCACTTCCGATATTAATCTAATATTATCTAATTATTATCGTGCAATATTTACATTTATTCCATAGCCAATATTGGCTTTACGTTGAACAATATCGGCCAATGCACTTCTAATATAACCAACATTGGACCAATATTGAGCCAATGTTTAGCCAATGCACTGTGCTACTAGGGTATTTAATTAGTTAGCCCAATAGAAATTTTTTTCAGTGTGTTAAAATTTCAAAAGACTCGCATAAATTTCTTCGAAATGCCACGTTGTCCCGCGATCACACGATTTTCAGGGTGAATTTTAAGAAAAAAAATTCCCTCCGCGTATTTACAACGGCTGGCTGTAATGTTCAGTTTCAGAAAACTTTTGAGTCTAAAAGGGACGAATATTTCAACGAGCCAATTCGCCGCAATCGAGACGGCGTGTATGCGAAAGCACCTAAAGTGCACATACCCCAAGTTTAAATAAATTATTTCAACGCACTTATAGATATTACACATCGCGTGCAGACAACAGTTTCACGAGCCCCATGCAGAAGGGATTGCGTGTATGCACCATTATCTCTCTTTCCTCTTCAAAAGCGAATCCATTTGACCTTCCTATTGTATAATTTTATTGTTCACGCTGTTGCACGTTTCACTTCGTTTTTTTCTCTTCTTTTCTTTTTCGTTTCTCAACATGATCGCATGACGGTTGCGCCTCAGCTTGAACAAAAAATCTCGGATGCGCGTACAGAGTGTACAATATGTAAACGTATAAAATAAAAAATAGCACGCAGTGTGCGAGATCTAACGCGGTTTTATTCATGAGCATATTTTGCAATCACTGCAGGTTAACTTCGCACGTGGAGATGCAAATCTTATCAGAACAATTAAGAGTTAACTACTTTAAACATAGTGCATCTCATCGTGACACGACTAAACCCTGTATATATTTGTTTACCATTATAATGGTAAACGATCATATGCCGGTGGGGCATCTTACATTTGCCACACGTGTCTGAAAGTAATTTTAACTTCCACGTGAATCCGTACGCTGAGAAATATAATCGGATAATCCAAATACATAATAGCAAACGGATATGTACAATTAAATTGTTATATCCGATGAAAAATATGATCGGTTTTTCGATCAAATCTCATCTCATATTAGAATCCTATCTCATAATAGAGGACTTTCCTCTATAATTTAGTTGAATAACGATGCTTATTGAACGACGAGACTAAGCAGACAGAGACTGATGTGTTTTCACGCGCATACATAAATTCGTGATGCAAACGTCATGACGTTTTTCTGTGCACTAGGGCGAGTTCGTAGCAGCCTTTGCTTCGACCAATCTCGGTGACGTTTCGCCAAATACGCGTGGGCCAAAGTGCGAGTTCTCTGGCAAAAACTGCACCGACCAGTACACGTGTCCTGGAAAGAAGGAGATGTGCTTCGCCTCCGGCCCTGGGAAGGACATATTCGAGAGTACGAGCATTATTGCTCGCAAAATTTATCAGGAGTCCGTGGTAAGTGTGTGTTATCTACTTTTATGACGCTCGTATCTTCCGACGTCTCCCCCTTCATTTATCTCGCGAGAGGCGTGCAATAATAAGACACGATTTGTAATTAAAAATAACAACGATAGCTTACGTCAGATACTTCCCGTGTCGGAAGTAGCCTGCTACGTCCGCTTTAAAAAGTGGAGCAAGAAAAACTTTAACGATTTCTCCGACGCGTATAAGTGACCAAAAATGGACGTTTTAATTGAATGAAAAAAATTGCGCTGTAGTGCTAAGTTGATGCTAAGGTAATAGGAAAGCGTGCACGTGAATTTCACGGTCTCGGTGATGTGCGAGGTAAGTTCAAGTGCTCGGACAAAGCGGCATTACCGTAAAGAACCGAACGTGTTATTGCTCGAATCAGCGCCTTGATGCGCGGCGCTTCCTCGTGTGTGTATTGTTAATTAGGCACGCGGTGGCATACGTGAAACTTATTAGCGGTGCAAGCGAAGCCACCGACGCGTCGTGATCGTTATCAGGTAAATTAAGTGATTCCGAGCGCGCGTAGCGATTCATCAAGAGCGATACGCTAATTAAGGATATGAGTCGCGAGACATTAGACGTAGCAGTTTGAAACTGAAAGTCCGGCAGCCTTTTAACTTGTTAAAGATAACGTCTTTGACAATGTACAAAGAATTTTTTTAATTACTCTTATCTCTGAAGGAGTTAATCGTAAGGTTAATCTACACGGAGAGAATTTTCTCTTAAAATTTATCTTAAAAATCATGTAATCGTGGGACGGCATGGCATTTAGAAGAATTTTATGAGAGTTTTCTCAAATTTTACCGTACATTTTCTAGTAATTATACTTAGACTGAGAACAATATTCGATTAAATGTAATCGATAATAATAAATAAATGGATAATCGATAATAATAAATAAATGGATAATCCAATTTTATAATAACAAACGGATATATACGATTAAATTGTACAGCCAATGAAAAATATGATCGGGTTTTCGATCAAATTTCACCGGTAACTACATTTCATCGGATTTTCATCGAATATATATATAAATTAATCGGAAAAAATCCATAGTTACATTATAATCAGCTATGCAAATTGATAAAAAATTAACATCAGTTATACCTGAGTTTTTAAAATGTTAACATTCACAAAATAAGAGGAATCATGTTAATTCTTTTGTCTATATTACTTATTTCTCATTGATTTCATATTGTTATTACTAAATGTCGCTTACATCAAGTATTAATATGAAATATTGATGAGGTACGCATTCGACAACTCTCCCCTATATTACACTCTCTCCCTACACTGTGCAACTCTCCCCTATTTTACCATAAATTTTAATAGTAAAATGTATGGTAAAATTTTAGAAAACTCATAAGATTCTTCGAAATGCCATGTTCTCCCACGATTACACGATTTTCAAGGTAAACTTTAAGAGGAAATTCTCTCCGTGTAAAATTAATTCGACATATTTGTATATAAAAAAAAATTAGGTCGGTTGTAAAGATATTCACAAGATTATTCCCCGAGGTACCGTTATCAGGTTGCAATAGTTTTGGCGTGATTGGAAAGACTACCGTTGATGAAGATAGTGAGTAATATTTTCTCTTTTCTTCTTATTGTTAGTAGTACTAGTACATTTTATTGATTCCCCTTAGGGTTACAAGGCGCTTTTGAAGGAACGTGCCCAAACCTCTTATAACACCTCTCTCTATATCCACTTCGCTATGTGGCGATCGAACGAAAACCAACAATGTTTTTGTTCGGTTTTGAACCCGGGTCTTCGGATTACCAGACCAGCGCACAATCCTCTGCGCCACGATCGCCACCATATTTGTATACATATATATATCTCGCTTATCTTTGTCTTCCGAGAAATCTTCTGATTGCTATCTTCTGCAACGTTGACTAATAATGAATTGAAGACTGAAAGATCATAATTGCCGAGAACTGATATTTTTCTTTAATTGAGCAATTCCAAGACGATCTAATGACGAGAAGGATTGCTTTTTCTAGTAATTTTCTCAAGACTAATTGCGTAACGCGATTATTTTCTTTCGTTGAAACCGTAATGACTCTTTGTGGCATTATTGAAGAAATTAGAGCCATTCGCACTTCATTAAATTCTCCAGAAGATTATACGTTACGTCGTTATCGTCGAGTTCCTCTTCATTGAATAAAAGTTGAATAACAGCAGGCCGGTTGAAAAGTCAATGTTCTAGCGAGGTATTATCTCAATATGTGCAGTTCCGGTGTTTTATGTCAGGTGGAATGAAGTAAGATAAAACACGGAATACCTACCATTAGCTCGATTATCCGTACTTTTATTTGGCCATAAATCAGTTTCGCTAACACTATCGTTAATATCATTTTTTCTACGATTTCTTTCTGTTAAAGCTGTCTATTATAGTGTTATATTTTATATTATATGTATACGTGGGTACAAAAGACTTAGGCCCGGTCTCACCAAACCCCGCTTAACTTCAATCTTAGTTTAATTCATGTTCGTCTCTTTCTAAAGTTGGAAGGAACGCTTTAAGCTAAGCTTAAGTTAAACGACGAAACCGGGCCTTAGTGTCTAGGTGACCCAATTTGGGTCAGATACCAAGTGCGGATCAACAATTTGATGAGTCGCTAATAAGCGACATAAAAACACGCCGATGCCTTTTACGATATCGACAATGCGAAGGTGTAAATATATAAAAGAGCAAAATTGAAATAAAATTTAAGTGAATTACTTTCAAATGTCGCTTACCAGCGACTCGTCAAATGTTTTATCCGCATTTGGTCATCTTACCCTTCCTTATTTTTAACAAAATCTGTTTCGTCAGCTGACAATTTTGATCCGCGCTATTCCCAAATATATATTATACATTCTGCCTGTCCGTTTTACGTTTTTTAATACTGAGCCTTTCATTCCCGCAACAAGTAGGTGCACGGGAAAAACAAGATGTATCAACAAGATCAGTGTAATTGAAATAAAGTGGTTGAAACAACATCAGTATTAATGAATGAGACTCATCAGATAGTTGTCTTAATAATCTGGATACTTAGTTCAATGCTTGAAATCCACAGCAAATACAATTGAGGGAATTATGTATGTTTGTGGCAGCCCGTGACGTTAACATTTGACTCGAGCGACTTAATTTTTTTTCAGTTCAACAGCATTTTTTCCGCGTATCAATCTAATCTTGCAATGTAAGGCTCGTATCATTGTGCCGCTACACGTAAACTATAGATTGTTGGACGAATTTGAATGAGCGTAACACTTTCTACGTTGCGGTGAAACATTTACGTGTTCTCTCAAAATTATTCACGGTACTGTATTTATTTAGAACGTGTGCCGGACACGACCGGAACGCACAAGAGACTTCTCAAGAATAAGTGAAATTTATGTTATTACGTAGTCGCTTCGTAAATATAAATCGATACTTGAGACATGCGCGGCTACATCGGGATTCCAATTCCGTCAAACGGTCCCCTTTTTTGAGAGGACGCGCTAGGATGCCCAAGTGTGCGGTTTCGCGAATCGTCAGGGGAGGGTAAAATAAATAGATTGAACCACTTCTGTCGTCCGCGAATCGGAAGTAATCGATTTTTTCGCGCCGCTGCTGTTAAGTGCGATCAAGCGTTTCGAAATAAAGCTATGCGAGATAAAGGACTGCGGCAAAAGCACCCAGTCCGCGAGCAGACCTCGTAAAAGCGAGTTATTGTTTGAAAACAGTTGATGTTATTCCGTCGATTTTATCGACGTCTCTTACCTGGATTGGTTGGACTCGGAAATGCAATTCAACTTTTTAATCCTGACCATAAGTTTTCTCGTGAAATATTTTAATTTTATAGCGAAATTACATATTCACGCCTTCAAGTCGAATCACGGCTACACCCTTTTTAACGCCTGACTAAAAGAAGCTTACTTTAATTTCACTTATAAATTGCGTATTATTCTACTGTATACAATTAAGTCAACCAAACTGTGTGCCAATTTTAATCACATTTCATGTTAATAAGGGAAAGTCCCCTATTATGAAAGAGGCTTCTAATACGAAATAGCAGGTTTCCGACATCCAAATTCAATCACAAGTCTCTTTTCGCAACGATTATTTTCGCAATGAATTTTCCGCTAAACAAATTTTACCCCAATTAAGGGCAATAAATTTATAATGGAACCAACCGAAGATGTCTATGAATTTAGTAGACACTCCGCTATCTCGTATTAAGAATCTATCTGATAATAGGAAACTTCTTCTACGTTATTTTTCATACTTTCTTTCGTTTCCCATCAATTTGTGCTGAGGATGACTAAGTTACGTCCAACCGTTCACATTGATGTATTTATTTTATTACATTTTATGAAATAAGCGCTTTTGTCATACTTTACGATCTTGCTTTTGCTCATAAATCGGCCTATTCTAGTCGTAATGTCTATTACTTCTTTTGCTGAAAATGAGCGATATTTAATTTCTTTTAAAAGCACTTTTTATTTCAACTCGCAGAAAGTAATATAACGAGCACCGTGTCAGGGGGCCAAATCAATACTTCTCGACGAACTCAATTATAAACTATATATTTTACCGCGGTATATATTAAAAAAAAATATATATATATAATCCTAAACCCTTCTAAAACCTAATTGTTTTTCGACATGAAAACTCTTGGTGCGAAATGAGCCCAATTTTGTTGTCGCTTGTCGCGCGTCGGCCAACGATCAATTGAATCTGCCTGAGAGGATCCCGATCGAACTTGAAAATTTCGCTGTCGCATTGACTAGCAAACTGATTATCGACTAATGCCTCTTAGCGAAACGCCCGATTCGTTGCTATTTACACGATGGCTGGGCTAATAATGCTTCTCGTAGTCGTAGCTGTTGAAGTGCGCCGGCGAGATATACTTGACGACCGGCACCGGTTTCGGGTGTATCGCCGGCCCGACTTTCTTCACGACGGCGTTGAACCCGTTGTGGTCGTCCGCCGTGTACTCGACAATGCGCACGCTCCCGTCGGGCTCGTTGACGCTGTACGACCCGTGGACGACGTCGCCGTCCCGCACCTCGTGCTGGGTCTTCACGTCACCGGTGTGGGGATCGTGGACGCCGTAATTGAAGGTGTATCTCGGGTGCGACTGCAACAGTGCACACAGTGTGCCATTATAACGCGAGTTTGCGACGGGCTGCCGGCGCACATCCGCATACCGGAGGCGCAAAGAGCTTTAAGGCCCGTCTACATAGGACGCAATACGCAAAACGCGGACGCAGACGCGCATGCAGGATGACGTTTCACGCAACGTACACGCATTCGCAAATCAGTCATACGCGACTAGTTGAACCAACTTTATCTTTTGGTTCAACTAGTCGTGTATGACTGATTTGCGAATGCGTGTACGTTGCGTGAAACGTCATCCTGCATGCGCGTCTGCGTCCGCGTTTTGCGTATTGCGTCCTATGTAGACGGGCCTTTACTCGCTTAAGATGCACGCCGCGGGCTCGCATTATTTATCTTTCGCGCTCCGATACTTCCGCGCAACTCGCTGGCAGATGCAGAACGCTTTTGGCTTTTACGATGCACATTAATCGAATGACGAACACGAAAACGGAATTAATTTCTAGAAAATCAGAAAGTTGCGCCCAGTATAATTAAAAAATGTGACAAACAAAATTAATTATTTTAAAATATTCCGTCGAGGTAAGAAGTTAATACAAGTATTTAATGCCAAGCACTTGGTCCTGCTGGAAAGGAATAAATATAATAAGCGTGTACGATACGTGTGCCATGTTCAGGTCTACATTAAAAACATTTGTTTCGCTATTTTACTTTGTTATAAAATCTAGCAGCGTTTTGCATTAAACGCTCTTTTTAGTTTCTCACTTGATAGATTTGAAATGATTAATTTTTAAAATATTTACCACAATTGTCCTCTTTATTTGGTGCAGTTTTCTAATTTCGACACTTTTTCGAAAAATATTTTTTTTAATTATGCATTAAACACATTTTTCAGTTTCTCCCTTGATAGATTTAAAATGATTAATTTTTGAAATATTTACCACAATTATTCTCTTTATTTGTCGCAGTTTTTAATCTCGACACTTTTTTCGAAAAATATTGTTTAAATTATGAAGTTTATTAAAGCAATTTTCATATTGTTATTTCACTCCCCGATACTTCGGTACTCCGTGTAACTTGCTGACAAATGCAGAATGACTTTAATTTTCGCGGTTATAATATTAAAAAGGAATTAATTTCCAAAAAATTGGAAAGTGGAAAAGAGACTCGTAACTCTTAAAAGATAAATTAATTTACACGAGTAAACTTATTGAATACGCTTGAATATAATATAGAATGCTTTTGTATGTCGCGATTTTATGATATTTAATTTCTTCGGCTCGCAAGTGTAATAAAAGCTACTTGAAACGCACAATCTCGCGTGCTTTTGAGACACGACGTTATATCGCAATTGTCCGCACACGTAGCGCGATATTTCATCGTTTTACGATATTACTTGGAGCGCCGCTTTTAGTGACAATTAACACCGCGAGAAAGCGACGACAATGAGCGTTGCGGAAAGAGGCTCGACAATAAGAGATACGGCGAGGACAGAGGAAATACCTTCGTCACGCAGACGTCGCTTTTCAAAGAGACGGGAATTTAAATTAACATATACGCCTCAGGCGTCAGGAGACATCACGAGACTCGACGGATCTTGACACTTTTCAGAAAGAAACGTGCGGGAATTTATATTAAACGATGTTAATGAAGTTGGACCGATAAAAGTACAAGTGTGGCAGAGATGCGCGTGAAGTTACAATGTTTATCGTAAATATTGAGTCGTACCGCTCTTGTGAAAGTTTCTCGGCGAATTGACAAAAATTCCCGAAGATGTTTCAAAGAAGCGTGGAATATTTTTACCCGAGAATCAAGATGTGCGCTGCCACAGTCGGCAATAAAAAATGGAGGAAGATATCACAATAGCACAAATAATAGAAGCGTCTTATACGTTTCTTTTTTAACAGCAAACGCCGATAACTTTCGGTCTTGAAACACAGTCTGAGGCCAAGTTCTTCATTTTCTGGTTAACTATTAACCAGAGGTTGGTCGACTCTCTTCGTCTTTTCTTTATATTATTATCTAAGAAGGGACAGAGGGTTGACTAACTTCTAGTTAACAGTTAACCAGAAAATGAAAAACCAGGCCAGAAGCTAACATAATAGTGTGTTTAATTAAATTGACAGTCAATTTAGTAATAATGCTAGAAAAGCATCCTTTAGAAGCGAGCTGAAAAAGATTTTACTGCGTGAAATATTACTGGAAAAGAAGTCAAGATTCGAACTTCGACTTCTATATTGTTCGGGACGAGTTTACCAGTTCGATCACTGAAGCATGTTGTAATATTTATTGCAACAGTATGTGCATAAATAACACATATATGAGAATAGTCGCGAGCTCGTACGAAAAGAAAGACACACTGAGCGAAATGTCCGATTAAATATAATCGGATAATCCAATTACGTAATAGCAAACGGATGTAATCCGCTGAAATTAATATATCACTATAATTTTATCGGAGAACGCAATCGGGAAAATTAACCGTCCGAAACACTATTCAATTGGCAGGAATAAAGATTTATCGTTGCGAGTGAATAATTAACCAATGTAGAAAATTAATAATAATAATCGACACAACTGGCAAATTCTAGTTAAAGAAATTTGTTGCGAAAAACATCAGGTTGAAACCCTGGCTGAGGTAATATTTGTCGCAATACATTTTTTTTATTAGAACTTGCCAGTTGCGTCGATTATTAATTCCGGACTGTTTAATTGGTTTATCCGATGGACATTGTTATCGGTGCGGGAAAGGGAGGCCTGCTCACGTAGTAGTCGTGGTCCTGCTCGGTGTGGTGGTTGTAGCTGTGCAACTCGTGGTCCAGGGACGCGTCCACGTGGAGTGGCGCGGCGGACACCGCGTGCACCGGAACCGCGACCGTCGGCAGAACTTTGTATCCGGCGGATCCGATGTATCCGTCGAGATCCCCGTAATCGTTGTAGGACAGGCCATGGCCGCCGTTGTAACCGCTGAGAACCACCGCGTGGCTGCACGCCAGCGCGGCGCAGAGGAAAGCGACCGTCTGAAAAAGCCGCAATTCGCGATCGTAAATCTCCTCTGTGGGAAAACGAGATTGTTAATATGCGAAGTCGTGTCAAGGATTCGATAGTTTCTTTTCGATTCCACCGCGGCACCGCGAGGCGTCCGCTTCTCTTTTCACGCTCTTCTCCCCGGCGTGTCCTCCGCGCGCGTTTTCCCTCATCCGGGCGCGCCGCGCCTCTCGTGCGACGTTTAAAAGCGAGGGGTAGCGACGATAGAATAATCGATACCCCGTGCGACGCAGGCGATTATTCATCAGTCACCTGTCGGTGCGAAATCTCGGACGGAGTCTAAGTTTGGAAAGTCATCGGGGCTGATTTATTGGGAAAGTCTCACCGTCCGAGAGACGCGTTTCTCGAGTTTCGATGTTTCGTTAAATCTCGGATCGCAAGTTCCACCGTCGGGAGGACGGTCCTCTTTTCACTTTCACGCCGACCTTGTTGTCCGCTAGGCCGATAGAACGTAAGTCAATGAAACGCCGCGCGGAAGTGGTTAAGAACTTCGCTTCCTTATCCGTCGCGATGAAAATGATACGTCGCGAATAAAAGGTTTATTACACTCCCGGCACGAATATTCATGACTGAGAAAGCCGACGCGGATTCCGGTATTTTGAGGTAAACCGGAGGACCGGGAAGAAAGAGAAATCTGATTTGATCGAAAGAAAAAAACCTGAATGACAGTAAAATTCTCTTGTAACTGCTTTGAAGATGCATAAATTAGTGGCATGGGACGAAGGCGACGTTACATCCAAACGATTTTCCAAAACAGATCGTTTCTAAATAACTTAAAAAGTATGGATAAAAAATATATCTACGTATACATATACGTGTAAATTGTAAATAACTTTACCATACAAGTGTCAAATAAGATGATCTACACGGAGAGAATTTTCTCTTAAAAGTTATCCCGAAAATCATGTAATCGTAGAACAACGGCATTTTGAAGTACTTTATGAGAGTTTTTTGAAAATTTACCGTACATTTTGCTAGTATAATGTATACTAGTATAAATATTACTAGTATAAATTGCTAGTAAAATGTATGGTAAAGTTTCAGAAATCTCCTGTTAAAATTTATTCTGAAAATCGTGTAATCATAGGACAACATGGCATTTCGAAGAGTTTTATGAGGATTTGTTTGAAATTTTACCGTACATTTTACCAATAAAGTGTCTACTAAGTACAATTACTGGTAAAACGTATGGCAAAAACTCTCATAAAACTCTTCGAAATGCCGTGTTGTCCCACTCATACAATATTTTCAGAATAAATTTTAAAAGAACATTCTCTCCGTGTGCGCGGTATAATTAAAAAATGAGCTCTACCACTGCAAAGTCTGTTTCCAATTTTAATTAGACAGATAGGCAAACCTATCCAATGAAAATTAGAGGCGAGACTTCGTTACACCGGAGCTGAAAAGAAGTGACTCTGAACCGTCTATTCACCAGCTCAACGAGAAGCGATTTCGGAATTGTTTTTCTCGACGAAGAGGTCCGTACAGATAAGATTCCGCCGGTTTCGCGCAACGCTCGGCGATAATGTTGCAACAGGCGCCCTAGCGAGCGAGAGAAAGAGAAATAAGGGAGATCCACTTGGACGATAGACGCGGCGCCGGAAGTTCCCTCGGACGCGGCCGACAGGAAAAGCGACGCACACTCGCACCGATCTCCCAGCCACCCAGCACACTCGAGTCGCGTGGTACCTTCTCTCCTCGTACCTTCAGCATGATGCTTCCACAGTGTGTTTCCGCTCACAGCACGTTTACCGTATGCGAGACCGTCGGGCGCGAAGTCACTGATAGCATTATTCCCGGACGATGGGCTTATATCCATCTCCCACCTCGGGATGGCTCCGTTCCGGGCAAAAGCTCCCGGCCTCGGGTGCCACCACTCTTTCAGGCTTGCGTCTAGGTGGTACCCTACCCCCCGCGGATCTTTTTGTGTATGAGAAAAGACACGAGCCACGTGCTCGGTGGCACACACGTCGGCGTTACCCACTCGTGCGAAAATCCTGAAAGGGATTCGGCGGCCGCGCTCAGATCTGCCGTCACGCTCGCGACTCGGTCGAAGGAGACGATCGAGAGGTTGATGCTTGCCGTGAAAGTCACAGATAGAACTTAGCCGGCATTTGGCTGCTTCGGTTAATTGAACGAGACTGGTATAGAGTTGCCTGTATCGCGCGGATCTTATTGCGGTGTGTATCCGCTCGAAGATGCAACGGATCGATTTGGCCGTCAGAACCGATTGTGTTGAAAGGATAGGGGGTAATCGCCAGCGGATAAATCTTATTTCCCCAATTGTCCGCTTCGCAACTACGTACGTGTGGTTGGGACATAATTCGGTCTCAAACGGCGGATGGTAGCCAAGTGAACGTGAAATTGAATGGAAATGTCAAAATAATTCGATTTATCGTCATTAATCTGGCGAAAACAATTTGCGTACAGTTGCGTATCTATAGATTTAGGTTGTCATAAGAACCTCATACATTTTATAAGGGTATATCAATCATTTTCAAAGAAAGATTTATATCAGGCGGATATTTAACCCGCATATATGCTACAATGTTTTCTCCCTCGCTGAAAACACGCGTTGAATATTCGATACAAAAAATGAATAATACTTTATAAGTAATATATAATAGAAATTTCTTGTGGTGAAGTCAAATTTTCTGGCGAAACTTTCGAGTTATTTGCATAAGACGAATTCAGAGAAACAAAAATAGGTATGTGAGCGTGAAATTTTCCAATTTTCCATCAGACACGATCCAAACACACCGGGATTAGTAATGTTCTTTTTTTATGAATCGGTTTAATTATAAATTGTGCGGTAAAGGTTACGTGAAAGAAGAGTCGATTGCTTATGCATCATTGTTACTGCGCGCATAAACGTTACGTCATGTCTTCGCGTAATAGAAGCAAATGCTCTCACTCTCTTTCATTCACTCTCTCTCTTTCTTTCTCTCTCTTTTCACGTATTTGTAGCCGAATTAATACTATTCTCTTTTTTTTTTTTTTTTTACGAAATCGCTTACGCATTTTTCTTCGCAACAGAGAGAACACATAACGCAGAGAGAACGCATAACTAATGCAGGAAATTTACGCCGAATTCCTTTGGCCGCGAAATAAAACCGGACAGCGCGTTACAGAACATCCTGGAGAGAAAGGATATATCCGTTAATTACGAAAAACTTGTTGCCACTTATTACCGTGGGCTTACCTTAAATAAACTTTTACTAAATTAACAGCTGCACGATCTTGCAGAGTAAGGGGCCTATTCTGTTAACGTTAACGACATCATTACGTGCTTTGCACAGATATAATATGCACGGAGAGAATTTTCTCTTAAAATTTACCCTGAAAGGATATGCGAGACCGTCGGCCGGCGCGAAATCACGTTAATTATTTATTTAACTACACCGGGAAAAATGTCCGATTAAATGTAATCGGATAATCCAATTATATAATAACAAACTGATATGTCCAATTAAATTGTGTATCCGACGAAAAATATGATCGGTTTTTCAATCAAATTTCCTCGGATGCAACCATAACTTAATCGGAAAACGTAATCGGAACAATTAGCCATCGGAAACATTAAATATATTTAATTGGTTTATCCGATGAAGATTTTTCTCAGTGTAGTAAAATGTATAACAATAAGTACAATTACTAGTAAAATGTACGGTCAAATTTCAAGAAATTCTCATAAACTTCCTCGAAATGCCGCGTTGTCCCACGATTACAAGATTTTCAGGATAAATTTTAAGAGAAAATTCTCTCCGTGTAGTCGTGCGTAGATCAAAGACCGGCGGAGAGGCCGAACTTTCTCTTAAAATTTATCTTGAAAATCATGTAATCGTGGGATGACATGGCATTTCGAAGAATTTTATGAGAGTTTTTTGAAATTTTATTAGTAAAATGTACGGTAAAATTTCAAGAAACTCTCATAAACTTCTTCGAAATGCCGTCCCACGATTACAAGATTTTCGGGATAAATTTTAAAAGAAAATTCTCTCCGCGTACCAGGAAAGCTGCGCAAAGCACGCGATGGTATCATTAACGTTTACAGACTAGTTCCCTAAATCTTGTGTAGTTTAAAAAAAACAATATGCTCATTTTGTGTCGCTTGTTGTTTCGCAATTCGTAATGGGACGAGAAAATTAGTGTTACTTTCATATCGTATGAATATATTTTAAATATGTGTGTATTTATGTGCATAACTCCATGTGCAACCTCCTTGTACAAGAGACAATTCTCGAATATATTTCTAGTTTTAGCCGACAAAGGCGTGGTAGCTTCAGTTCTATTCTTACGCAATTCTCGACAAAGCCCGTTTGTCTTCGCAATGAGCAATGTTATTTCTTTGCGCACGTAACGTATACATCATCGTCGTTCCGTGAACGCGATCCGACAACCACCTTTTAAAAAAAAAAGGTTAGTCCCGCCCGAGTGATTACCGGCACGATCTATCTGGATCAAGATCATAAGCGACAAAACCTTTCGATCTCAGCCCAAATTCTTTTGTTGCGTATTTACGTAATGCGTGCCGGACTTATTGTTCAATGTTCCTCTGTGAGAGAGAGAGAGAGAGAGAGAGAGATTACGTGATTCCATTATTTTCGTGCGATATGTTGAAATTTATCACTTTGGTAACTGTGTGTGAATTGCGTTGCGTTGATTCTGACAATGATCGATCGATGTTTCGCACGTTGCTTTTTAGCGGTGCCTGCGCGTAAAATTTTATTTATATATGTTCTTTATAAACGATCGATCGACTTAATTCGTCATAATCGCACGTGATTAAAATGCAATTTTGTCGGCTCGCTTCTCACTCGCATCATATTAAAGTGCAGTAACGAAAGTATGCGAGGAGATGGCTCTCGCTATTCGATCTCCGCTCTCCGTTTATCGCGCAGGCTGGATCTACGTAACAGTGTGCGATCCAGGCGAGCTGAATCGCTCGATCGCCGTCACGTTGACGTTTCGCAATTCGCGTAGCGCGGAGTCGCGCTCTAAATTCACATTTTTGTATAGCGCGCTAATAAACGGTGGCCCATTCCCCCCCCCCCCCGCTGTTATTTCTTTTCTCTACCAATGACATTGTCTGCCGGACACGTAATTGAAGGTTGCCCGCTTCCGCGGACGGATTTCGTTAACCGTTGAGATACCACCACTTTCTTTCGACTCCGAGCCAACCCGTTTCTTACGCAGTCGTTTATTACTTGACAACGGCTGTGGCAACAAGATTTCATAAGGGAATCTGGTGCTACGCTGAATTAAGTTCGGTCGTCTACTTGGGCGTCTTTCAAAAAGATAGCGAGGATGACGCCAGCGGCGGCAACGAAGAGAGAGAAAAATGCAATCACGAGAGTGTTCTTCGTAAATAATTTATTTCAATCAGTTTAATACTCCTCGAACTTATTTGAGATAAGTGAAATCACGGTTAGGGTGATTCGCAGAGGAGGACTCTTTTAAGCACTCACACGATTTCTCTTGAAAACTTTAGCCAATCAAAATTTTGCAAACTCGATGAAGAAACAGGCTTACGTAGAATTTAGAAGTGGTGGAAAATTATCTTTTAACGTAGTCTATGTTTCTCGTCCAGAATGTGCGTTGTAGTAACATTTTACATTCCACACTATCATTCTGCATTCGCTTTGAAAGAGCAAAAAGTACTGTGGAAAGAACGATGGTGTCAGTGAGATCAATCCGTTTATCCGCTGTCATGTAATATGTGTCAGCTCCTTGGTTGCAAGTGGCGAGTTATATGATCGTATGTCCTTCGTAGACACCAATTCAGATGACAAAATAAGGCGTAACCGTTGACAATGCAGTCGTTAAGGGTAATAACGACAAGAATAACAGGTGTACTTATAGACCGCAACGACTTTCTCGCAGTCTGTTTAATTGAAGACACTATTTGTTCGCTAAATATGCCTCGAGATGGAAGGAGACGAATAATTTCTAAAGTCAAAGTCAATTAGATGTTCTTCTTGAATCAGCGACGATATGTATAAATATATCGTATACGCGATTAAATAGAATCTTATTACGTAGGATCTTATCACGAAGATATACTATATACAAATACCGCTGACAGGTATATTTATTATTCATCGTCACTAGCACATCTCTGGTAGGTACTTTCGAGATAAATAATAGATCGCCGCACCACGCGTCAAAAATAAGTGATTATCCGAGAGTGTCTTTCTTAGCCCCTTTTTTAATTATTGCAAGATAATAGAGCGCAATAAAGAGTAACAGATAACATAAAAACTGTTAAAAAATTGTCCTTTTAAAATTTTATAACTTTGGACAACAAATCGCTTGATATTTACCAGGGTTTTTTTTTCGTTTCATTCAATCTTTCCCCTTCGCGTTAAATGTTTGTAAAGTGAATCGATTGAATTTAGTGCAGTAAAAAGCAAATTATTCTCGATTTATAAATTAATTTACGGCCCATATAGGTGCAAATTTGGTATAAGTAACCGAATAGACGCATTTCTTTTACGTCAGCTTTTATCGCGTATGGGAAAATTTGTAATATTGGAGAATCAGTATCAGTGATGCAGATTCAAATTTTCAGCGTGTACATATTTCAAAAATTTTACCGTAGTAAACAAATATATCGTTACTGTTTGGGAGTACACGCTTTCTGGTTGTAAGTTTTAACTCGTTGTCAATCATATACATATAGAATATTTGTTTGGGAAAATCCATCGATGTTTTTTATTTGCGCAACTCGATACTTGTTTTTGCGACGATGGCAAAATATTGAATGGTAAAATACGATTGTAGAAATACGGTACGATACACGCGGGAACAATAAGAATTTTTAGAGCGAAAAATATAACCTACATCTCTCCTGTACGAAATCACGGAAGTTATACTTTTAGTAATTTTTCCATCTTGTGCCAGTTTTTATTAAGGGCTCAAGTGGTATTTTCATATTACATTAAATTATGAAAGTGTAATTGAAACGTAGAGTTTCAACGTTACATAAAATTGTTATTTAAGGAATCAGGTTAAT